GTTATGAATGATATATGTATTGTTCGAGAGAGCTTAACTATTGCCTAAAATATAGTTCCAATAAATTGAGCACTGGCAAGACTGTCAAAGATTTAAAAAAAAAAAAAATTACTTACTAAACCTTCACTCAAGTTATTTATTAAACCTTCGCTTAAATTATTTTTTATATACTTACTAAACCTTTATTTAAATTATTTGTTATATAACTTATTATATTCAGCAAAGGTTTTGCCTATATTGATTTGGCTATACTATTATAATTGAATAACTTCAGTGTTTTTGGTCTTTTCAAACAGAATGATGCTTTAATACAAGTATTTGAAAGCCTATAAGTTTATTCTAACATTCGCTTAAATTACTTACTAAACTTTATTCAAATTTTTTTTTTATATAGCTTACTAAACCTTCACTCAAATTACTTATTAAACCTTCACTTAAGTTATTTATTAAACCTTCGCTTAAATTATTTTTTATATATTTACTAAACTTTTATTTAAATTATTTATTATATAACTTATTACATTCAGCAAAGGTTTTGCCTATATCTATTTGGCTATACTATTATAATTAAATAATTTTGGCATCTTTGGTTTTTTCGAACAGGATGATGCTTTAATATAAATATTCGAAAGCTTATAAGTTTATTCTAACATTTGCTCAAATTACTAAACTTTATTCAAATTTTTTTTTATATAGTTTACTAAACCTTCACTCAAACTACTTACTAAACCTTTGCTCAAGTTATTTATTAAACCTTTGCTCAAATTATTTTTATATAATTTACTAAACATTTACTTAAATTATTTGTTATATAACTTAGCAAAGATTTTGTCTATATCTATTTTGCTATGCTATTATAATTAAATAACTTCAGCATCTTTGGTGTCTAAAAGAATAATCAAAATTATCATTATCAAAATATATTTCTTTAATATAAGTATTTAAAGGCCTTGTATTTATTCTTTTAACTTTAATTTATTACTAAAATAATATCTAATATTATATATTATTAATAGTAGCTAATTTTTAATGATATCTAAAGGCCTTGTGTTTGGTTGAATATTTTTAGAGTTGGGCTTGGATTAGATTTGGAGAAACTAAAATTTAAATTTAGATTTAGTTATATTAGAATTTAGATTAGTATTAGATAGGTTGGGGTTAAATTTGTTATTAATAAAGCTTATTATATTAAATATTAAAATATATATTGAATTGTAATTATTTGTCAAATTTAATATAAGAAATTTGACTACTAAATGAAATGGCCAATTTGACCTGAATTTGATAGTTGAATAATTAGCCAATTTTATATTGAATTATTGAAACACTTCAACCTGAATTTGATAGTTAAATAATTGGCTAATTTTATATCGAATTATTGAAATAATTCGACTATCGAATTTAGGTCAAATTATTTCAATAATTCAATATAAAATTAGCTAATTATTCGACTATTGAATTCAGATCAAAGTGTTTTAATAATTCGATGTAAAATTGGCTAATTATTCAACTATTAAATTTAGATCGAATCAGCTATTTCATTTGGTAGTTGAATTTTTTATATTTGACTAGTAATAAAGAATGCCACTAGCATTCTAGGTAGATCATGTACTCTGAGTTTAAAATAAAAAAAAAATTAATTTGTTATATAATTTATTATATTCAACAAAGATTTCACCTATATCTATTTAGCTATACTACTATAATCAGATAACTTTGGCATCTTCAGTCTTTTTTAATTGTCTAAAAGAAAGATCAAAATCATTATTATCAACATATATAGATAATATTAATACTTCAAGATAAGTATTTGAAAGCTTTGTATTTATTCTAATATTCATTCAAATTATTTATTAAACTTTCACTCAATTTATTTTTTTTATATAACTTACTAAATCTTCACTTCTCAAATTATTTACTAAACCTTTGCTTAAATTATTTATTAAACTTTTGCTTCAATTATTTATTATATAACTTTACTTAAATTAATTTGTTATATAATTTATTATATTCAGCAAAGATTTTATTTATATCCATTTGGCTATACTACTATAATCGAATAACTTTGGCATCTTTAGTCTTTTTTAATCGTTTAAAAAAAAGATCAAAATCATAATTATCAATGTATATAGATAAGATGACAGATAATAAAGATTAAAAACTAAACAGGATAGTATTTGAAGGCTTTGTGTTTATTCTTTTTAATTTAAATCTATTACAATAATAATATCTAACATTATTTATTATTAATAGTGCTAATTTTTGATAATATCCGAAGGCTTTGTATTTATCCAAATATCTTTAAAGTTGGGTTTGGGTTAGATTTAAAGAAACTAAAATTTAGATTAAATTTAATTAGATTAAAATTTAGATTAGTATTGAATAGGTTGGAGTTAAAATTATTATTAATAAAGTTTATTATAAAAATATATATACTGAATTGTATTAGTAATCTAGTTGATTCTTTGTCAAATTTAATAAAGCATTTGACCACCAAATGAAATGGCCAATTCGACCTGAATTCGATAGTTGAATAATTAACCAATTTTATTAAAATAATTTAACTATCGAATTCAGGTCGAATTATTGAAATAATTTGACTATCAAATTTAGGTTAAATTATTTCAATAATTCGATATAAAATTGGCTAATTATTCAACTATCGAATTCAGGTCGAATTATTCAATAATTCGATATAAAATTGGCTAATTATTCGACTATCGAATTTAGGTCGAATCGGCCATTTTATTCAGTAGTCGAATTTCTTATATTTGACTAGTGTGATCTATCTAGCTAAGATTTAAATTTAGAGTAAATCAGATCAACCCCACTTCCCCTGATTAATATGTAAAACAACCAAATTAATTTTGTATTAACTGCATATAGTATTAATAAAGAAATTAAGAAAAAGATCTTGCTTATAAGAAATATATATATATAAAAATTGATCAGCTGATTTTTTAAAAAAAGAATCGATTTGTTAAACGAAAATTAGATTTAGCCGATTGGTTTGGACAGATACTACATGGACTTATGGACCAAGTCCTTATAAAACCAGTTTTAGAACTTTAGTTAACTTAGGTTCAGTCCAAGACTTAGTCCTAGAACCTAGGTCCGCTATATGCTGTAAAAGAGCGGATTTGGGGTGACTAGTACCCGCAACCTAAGACACAACAAATCAAAGGCTACTCGAAGGCGTGGGAAGATTTGGTCCGAGAACTGCCACTAGGATCCACGGGGTTTATCATTAGGTGGTTTTAACACTTCATTTGGTTTCAGATACTAAGCAATATGATTATTTAGAGCATCGGGGGATCTATGACTAACGATGAGTAATTCATACTCATTTTCATGACTATGACTTTAGTTTCCACCATAGAGGCGACTTACTATTGTTCTTCAATGGAGCTTTGCCTCAAGCCAAACCCGAATCGGCATTTATTAAATGCCATCACTTTTTCGCATTAAGGTCCCGAGTCTTATGGCTTAGATCCCGTTTTTTTGCTGCGGCTAGTTCACAATGTACAGTACATGGGGGGCGTTAGTAGAAACCAAGCAAATTGTTTTTAGTGTTTTTTTTAAAACTTTAAATTAAAATACTGTATCTCAGCAATTATTAAATCAAACTTGATAAATTTTTCTTTTATTTCAATTCTATAAATATATAGAATTAAAATAAAATATTTTTTATCAAGTTTGGTTTAATAGTTTAGATATTTTAATTAAAAATTTACTTAGAAACAATTTAACTGGTTTCTACTGACAACCCTCCACATATTGACATTTACCTATTAGAATGTGTAATAATATTATGTGTATTATACATTAAATAAATGATTATGATTTTAAACTATGCATTTAAAGCTTTATTGAAATTATACTATATATATATATTGATTAGGCTGTCCAGAATTATGCAATAGCAGAAATTTGCAATTGAAATGAATTTTATTATTTTTAATAAATTTTAATTTGTACATTAGGACTTTTTACAGACCTAAGGACCCTGGGTCCTTAAGTTTGGACTTGGTCTTTAAAGACTAGGTCCTAAAGTCCGGACCTAAGGATTTACCAACCCTACCATTAGCCGCTACACATCACACAATCTTCTTTATTCTCAATTGAACATGCGATGGCTAGAATAGATGCTCTTTTATTCCTAATGTTTTCAGATTCTTCGGCTGTTTCAACTTCCCTGAGTGAAAGTTGATCAACTGTGAACTAATAAAAAAAAAATAATGGAATGACTTATGTAAATAAGCCTGTGCAGTTGTTACAAGTTTACAGAAAACCAGAATTTCACCTTAATAGCGTCTGCTGCTGGTTTCGTTCTAAGATAATACATTCCAGTTTTTAGACCTTTTTTCCAACCATAACTTAAAAAACAAGTAACCATCATCAGTTAGTAATTTCTAGATATGCTATTAAAAAAAAGATAGAGTTGTACAATAATTATTAAATGCATATAGTTTAATAACACTTACAAGTGCATGCTAGTCAGTTTAGCAAAAGTTGGTTCTCCTATATGTATGTTGAGACTTTGGGATTGATCAATGAATGCACCACGGTCGGCTGCCATATCAATTATTACTTTTTGTGACAACTCCCACGTTGTTTTATACATGGCTTTGAGTTCATCGGGAATACCAGGAACTGATAAAATATCAAAATAAAATCGTTTACATTCGTTTTTAAATCAATGTATACAGCAATTATAAAGTATATACCCTTCTGAACACTTCCGTTGTCCGAAATGATTTTGTTTTTCATCTGATCACTCCATAAGCCCAAATCAACTAAATCCTTTAATAGCCAAGGATTAACAACCTGAAATTCTCCAGCGAGAACACGACGTGTGTAAATGTTACTAGTATAAGGTTCAAAGCATTCGTTAAATCCCAAGATTTGTGAAGTTGAAGCGGTAGGCATTGGCGCTAATAGCAGTGAATTACGAACACCATGTTGTGCAATTTTTTGTTTCAACAAATTCCAATCCCATAAATCTGTTGGAGTAACGTTCCACATATCATATTGTAAAATTCCTTGAGATACAGGGGATCCTTGATACGATTCATATGGTCCATATTTACTAGCGAGCTCACATGATGCCTCCAAGGCGCCATGATACATTGTTTCAAATATCTGCTTATTCAATTCTCTAGCACGTGAAGAGTCAAACGGAATGCGCATGGAGAGAAAAGTATCCGCTAACCCTATTTTTTTAAACATTAGTTAAATGTGAATAAATTGCTAGTACATGAATTATTTAATAAATACCTTGAACACCAATGCCAATTGGACGATGCCGAAAATTAGACCTACGCGCCTCTTCAACAGGATAATAATTAATATCAATAATTTTATTTAAATTACGAGTTATAACTTTTATGACCTATAAAACAATAAAAGCAATAAATTTCCATTAGAACCAAATTAATAATTAAATAGTATAATCTATAAATTAAAAAACAGACCTCATGCAGGTGTTCAAAGTCATACGTGTTTTTATCCTTAACAAACATTGGTAGAGCTATGCTTGCTAGATTGCACACTGCCACCTCATCACTGCTAGAATATTCGATAATCTCGGTGCATAAATTACTACATTTGATAGTTCCAAGGTTCTGTTGATTAGATTTACGATTGCAAGAATCTTTATAGAGCATGTATGGAGTACCCGTTTCGATTTGTGACTCTAATATCGCGGACCATACTTTTTGAGCTTTAACAGTTTTGCGTGCTAAACCTTGGCGTTCATAATCCTCATATAATTTCTACATTTGTGCAATATGAAAATCAGTAATACATATTGGTGAAGGTTTATGTAATCTTATATCGCAAACTTACCTCAAATTCATCACCCCATACATCCATAAGTCCAGGTGCCTCTGCTGGATCAAAAAGACTCCAATCATCATCAGATTCAACCCGTTTCATAAATAAATCAGATATCCAGAGCGCATAGAATAAGTCTCGTGCTCGCACCTCTTCTTTACCGGTATTCTTTTTTAAATCTAAAAAATCGAAAATATCTGGATGCCATGTTTCCAAATAAACAGCGAATGCACCAGGACGTTTATTTCCTCCTTGATCAACGTATCGTGCAGTGTTATTATACACACGAAGCATAGGAATAATCCCATTCGAATAACCATTAGTTCCCGCAATGTAAGATCCGGAGGATCGAATATTGTGAATGTTTAAGCCAATACCACCAGCCGTTTTCGAAATCATGGCACATGTCTTTAATGTTTCATAGATTCCCTCGATGGAGTCATCTTTCATTGTTAGAAGGAAACAACTTGAAAGTTGAGGTCGTGGTGTTCCAGCGTTAAAAAGAGTCGGCGATGCATGTGTAAAATATTTTTCAGACATTAAATTGTAGGTTTCAATTGCTGCATCGACATCTTCACCATGAATGCCAACAGCCACACGCATAAGCATGTGTTGTGGCCTTTCAGCTACTTTTCCGTCAATTCGCAAAAGATAGGATCTTTCAAGTGTTTTGAACCCAAAATAGTTATATTTATAATCTCTATCATATATGACAGCAGAATTAAGTTTTTCCGAATGTTTCATAATTGTACTATAAGTCGTTTCTGAAATCATAGAAGCGCGTTTTTTGGTTTTTGAATTTACATAATTATAGAGGTCATCAATGACTGTAGAAAAAGCTTTCTTAGTCTCTTTATGAAGATTGGAAATCGCAATACGCGCAGCTAGAATAGCATAATCAGGATGCTTTGTAGTCATATATGCTGCGGTTTCTGCTGCTAAATTGTCCAACTCAACGGTACTAACGCCTTGATAGACACCAGAAATGACCTTATTGATTTTAAAAGTTGTCAGATTAACTAACTCCCAGATAAACTAACATTAAAGTTTGAACCGGCTTTATTTTTCATATGCTAAATCTGATCTTAACGTATGGAACTTTTGCTTTGAAAATCAAGTTTTGATAATATATGATTTACTGTCTCCGTAAGGGCATTTTCATAGCAAATGACCTCAATATGAAAAATAAATCAGGTTCAAAACTGACTTTTTCGCCAACAAACCTTTTGAGCCACAGCAACAGGATCAACGAAATTCAAATCAAGACCGTAACATAACTTATTAATACGAGCAGTGATCTAAAAACGAGAAATGAAATAGGTTGCTTTAATATTCAGCGCTTCCCAAGTTCAAACCATGCCGGATTGGATATGCAACTTTTGATTTACCAACCTTATCAAAAGCAACGCGTTCTTTGCGACCGTCTACTCATCATATAATTATTTTTTACGCGTCAAAGAAGTAAGTGTCGCGTCGCAAATTTACTAAAGAGAATAGATTAAACGCGAAATATTAAAAGTACCTCTTTTTTTGACATAAAACATGTTAGAGTTATAACGACAAAAGCCAGGGGTCCGGAAAAATTTTGGATATTATTTATATGATTTCCGAATTTCTATAAATAATATCCAAAATTTTCCGGCTGGTGGTGCATTTCGCAATTGTTAAGATAAAAAGCGAGGATCGACGATCACATGATTGGCAGATAAATAACTTGATAACGTGATTTTTATGCCGTTTAACGAATCAATAAATATATAGTGGCATCAAAAAAGATAATTTTGAAACGGCTTAAGAAAAAAGTTTTTTTCATAGCGACTTTTACTGATTGCACGCTTTTTTATTTCACAATTCATATTCTACTTTAACATTTGCAGATAAAGAATTAAAACGAATAGATTATTGTTATTGTACGTTTCTTTTTCCTTTTAATCCTGAAATTGGGCAAATATGCTTTCATAAAAAAACTTTATCCAAGGTTTTGTTAACCAAAAGAAAAAAAATAGCTCCAAATACCGCCTTAAAACTTTTTTATAATACAGAGCAAATATGTATTCACAAAAGGTTTGCTATATTTAAATTGTGATTCATCCACGCAAATAAGTCCTAAACATTTCCTTCCCATAATCAAAGGAATACAAGCCAATATATGGGTCGTTTACTAACAGGGAAGACATTGATGCAATAATAACGAATACCAAAATATTAACACCAAAAAAAGTAAGTGGTATAAGAATTTTGCATAAAATTTCAGCGAGGGCAAATTAATGAAATCATACCAAATGTTACGATATAGGTTCCTTATACCATAGGATGCCCACCGCTTAAAAGAGGTAATAGTGATATTATATATTTAAAGACGTTGTTAGATCGCAGATTTTAGTCAACTCATGGCACATCAAACATTTTTTTGGGATTAGGTGGTAAAAGGATGGCTTCATCCAAACCACAAAACTGTGATACGGAAAGTCAATCAATACATTACTCTGAAGTATCAAAAATCAAAAATTCATTAATGTCACAGACATCTTCGACAACCACAACCATTATACCCATTGCTAGTCGATCGGTTGATCCTGTTAATACATCAATAACGACACCTGATCTGTCAACAACTACGCAGTCTTTTACATGCAACCAATCCTCCAACGATAGTAAGAACTTAATAACGTCACCGACAAATATATTAAATATACATCATCCCTCATC